CTTTGTCTGCACACATTTGAAGACAATCTACAGTAATGGCCGGGCAGTTCGCAAGCGTTGAGGAGTGTCTGGAGAAGAATGTCCCTGAGCAGGAGCTGAAGGAAGTGAAGAGGATCCTGTACGGGAAGGAACTACCGTAAGTCGCTGTGACATTTTTAAAGTTATCATGGTAACTGGTTTTAGTTTTATGGGAAAGCATGCGTTCTAATCTGTTCTTGTTTTTGAAAACTGTGTCATCATATTCCTGTACATATGAAAATGAGGCACAGATGTTGCATAGAATTAGTCTGTTTGAATTATTCAAAATTTTTGAGATGATAATTGTTATGGCTAATAGATTAAGCTGTAAATCATATTCACACAGTTTCAAAGGCATATGTATGTACATTCACATATCCATACACACACACACAATTACAGGAACAATCTCACACATTTATACACCTTTACACACATGCACATTGATAATTGTTATGGTAAGTATTATTTTATCTGAAACTGGAAATTGAAGATTAACAGATTTAGGCATAAATCATATTTAACATGTCTGAGTGAAAGGGGTATAATCGTTGTTTGGCCTTCATGTTCATCATATTCTGGAAAAGCTGTTTTTTTCATGTTACAGGCATAGAGGCTGATTATATATTCAAGAAATTTTACACTGTGATATAGCAGAAAAATGCTCAATACGCCAAAAACATTTATTGAAAAATAAGACTACAATGTCTTTTGATATTTCAGTTTCTCAAAAGAACAGATAAGAAGACAGTGATTTCATAAATATTCCATATCCATTCCTCATGGCTTTATAAAAAAAAAAAAAAAAAAAAAAAAAAAAAAAAAAAAAAAAAAAAAAAAAAAAAAAAAAAAATATATATATATATATATATATATATATAATATATATATATATATATATATGTTCCTTTCTTTTAATTGTGCTTTAGTTATCGAAGACATAAAGAAACAGTGTTTAAAGGTCATATTTATCACTAATTCTGTTCTGAATTTCAACTCCAGGACAATTACAATCCCTGAGTCTGCAGAAAAGCTAGCTGTGCAACACAGTTTTGACATACAAGGCTATGCTATCCCTGCTGCAAAAGAAGAGCTAACACCACCAAGGTACTGAAATTAGAACTTTCCAGTGACAATGCCTTTTTTCCATTTGCTAATCGTGATATAATGATTTGTTTTTCTTTGGTTCCTTTCGGTTCTTCTCTCTGTTGTTGAGAGTTTATAATCTAGCTTAGAATGTTTGATAAAGCATTCTAGATGTATATAACTGTAATATATTTTATTCTTTTTCTTGATAAATAGCTTCTAACTACATTATGAATTATATTTCCATGAAATTGGACTGTCAATTTTGTGGCTGTGTGATGTTATCACTGCCTACAATATATTCAAATCTGTCTCTGCCTGTCCACACTTTCTCTCTTTTGCTTCTTATATTTTCAGATGTACAAACATGTACATAGATGAATACTTTAGATATAAGTAAAGAGCAGTGACAAAAATGTCATATTTACATGCATATTATATGATATTACTCTTAGTTTTAGTCTATTGTTTGTCATATAAGATTGATAGTAATAAATAGTGATATTAGTATCAGTATTAGTAATATTTCTTTTTTGGTATCCTTGCTTTTCCATAATATAATCTTTTCCTTGGCAGGATTGTGCGAGTTGGTGTGATTCAGAATGCCATCGTTAAGGAAACCACAGCCCCTATTGCTGAGCAGAGGGCAGCTCTCCATGCAAGGATTTCGCAAATGACAGAAGCTGCAGCACTGTGTGGAGTCAATATTATTTGTTTCCAGGAAGCTTGGAGTGAGTCTATGAATTTAGACACAAATACTGTAGGAAGATTAGGATTATTAGTTAACATATATATTTTTTTGTAATACTTGTGAGGCACATTGCAAAGAAAACTCATTGTATTAATGTAGATTAAAGAAAGGTTTAGGGAATTGTATGTAATTAAATACATAACGCATTTTTACCCTTTGTCTTCAGCGATGCCTTTTGCCTTCTGTACTCGTGAAAAACAGCCTTGGTGTGAGTTTGCTGAAAACCCTGATAATGGCCCAACGACCCAGCTGTGTCAGGAGGTTAATATCTTTAGGAGTTTATATACATGCTTGTATTCTAAAATCTAGGATGTTCATTGTATTTACATTGGTAAAATGGACAAATGTGTTTGTAAGTAATAAGCTTGTGTATCATTTGTAAAAAAAAGAAGGAATAAAAAAGAAAATTGCATCTTTTCAGCTTGCACGCAAATTCAACATGGTGATTGTTTCACCCATTCTGGAGAGGGATGAAATCCATGGTGACACTCTTTGGAACACGGCTGTTGTTATCAGCAACACAGGCTATGTTCTTGGCAAGTCACGTAAGAACCACATACCAAGGGTTGGTGATTTCAATGAATCTACCTACTACATGGAAGGAGATACAGGTCACACAGTGTTCCAGGTATGTATGAGGAAGAGAGAAATAGTGTTTATTATTATTAGCTTTGTAATTATTTATTTGCTTGCCTAGAAAAATTAGAAGCTAGTAAGGCTTGTTGGTATTCTCATAAAGTAGGGAAGGATTTTTTCCCTAAGGCACTTTTGTTGCTTATTTGTCAGTATATTTTGTCCTAATTCTGCATATCAAAAAAACAATTAACATTCAAATTGCTTCTTTTCTTATCTGAAATTACAGCAGCTAGGGCTATTGTGTAGAGAGAGGTTGTAATTGATTTAAAGAATTGATTGCAGGATATAGACTGTAATTGACTTCTTTAATGATATTTACTCACACAGTGGTTCTTACATCTTTTTTTTTTGCGACCCCAAACATGCTCCTGTATCCTTGCCTGTACCCTCAAGCCAACTGCTGTTAATGATCCAGTTACAAGAACTACCTGTCTCACCTGTTTACCCTTTTCCTTAATTTTTTATAATATTTTCTAGTATTGAATACTGCTGTTAGTACTGTCAATATCAATATAGTAATTATAATATTTATAACAAAAATAATTGTCAATATTGATAGCATTAGAAAAAAAAACTCCTTTGTGGATAAGCACTGGCAGAGCCAGTTATGTACAGAAACATTTAACAAAACAATGCTAAAGTGAACACAACATTTTCCCATCGGCATTAGGGTAAAGGCAATAGCCTTAATCTAGGAGATGCATGTTTAGATTTTTTATATACTACGAACTGAAGAGTTATACATGTGAGTTTGAAATATATAAAGAATTTAGAGGTAGTATGAATTTTAAGAGGTACTAGTAAGACTGAAACCATATTACATGCAATACATTTAGTACAGTTTCATTTTAGTACACCCACATTCCAACAAAGAAATGAAATATTTAAGATCACTGATGTTAAAAATGTAATAAACATTCAGGTATTTACCATTCAAAATATATGGGAAATATTGTTTAAGCCCATTTAGTTGTATGGTTAATGAAGTGACGGTCAAATATTTTCTCCACTGCCAGAACATAAGTGCTGTTATATTGGTTATTGTTAGTTTAATTTCATGAATATAGCTGAACTTTTCAAGAGTGGTACACAAGTTATAAAAATTACAGATGATGGCAACTTTTCTCACTAGGCCAGTAATCAGCCCTGTTAAATTCTTGTAATAAAACTTTATAGAGTTACTCCTAAAATCATGGAATGAGCGGTAAATATGATTTATGCATTCCCAATTCCTCTTTGCCACACAGACACAGTTTGGACGAATTGCAATCAACATTTGTTATGGACGGCATCACCCACAGAACTGGATGATGTATGGGGTGAATGGGGCGGAGATTGTTTTCAATCCATCTGCCACTGTGGGAGGATTAAGGTACATGTATTGTGGTTTTCCATTTAAGTGCTTCTCATAAGTTAAAAATTTGTTGCAGTGTTAGCAATTTGCTGAGAATTATAATGTAAATATCCTTTACTGGAATGGTTATACAATTTTGGGGTAATTATTTTGACACAATTCTAAATCTTTTTAAAAAAGATTTTTTTCCTTTGACCCATATTATCATGTGTTATATTTTCATGGTCTAGTTGCAGTCAAAGTAGAATTGAAAAGTAGTTTTAGTTACAGTGTAATATTTATCTATTTATTTGTTTTTTATTTAGACTAATTGCCTTTATTTCTCTGTTGACATTAGTGTGCTAGATGTTGTTTGGCAGTTTAAGCAGATTTTTATTGTCTATAACAGTTGCTCAAGAAAGATTTTTCATAGAATAGAATCTTCACTTCAACATATTTCTTTCCTTCTCTAGTTTTACAGTATCTAGACAAAAAATGGAGAATAGTGATGGTCAATAAGCATTTTCAAATTTAGACTCCATCATTATAGTCAATGATGAATCATTTTGATGGATCGGATCATCTAAACACCAGTTCTTTCCAGTGAGCCTATGTGGGGAATTGAGGCCCGAAATGCTGCCATTGCCAACAGTTACTTCACTTGTGCTATCAATCGTGTTGGCACAGAGTCCTTCCCCAATGAATTTACTTCAGCTGATGGCAAACCGGCACACAAGGACTTTGGCCATTTCTACGGCTCTTCCTATGTTGCAGCTCCTGATGGCTCTCGAACACCAGTAAGTCATAGCATGGGCATATGTATATTGGATTGTGCTAAATGAAATGTTGATTTATTACTATTTTATATGTTGAGGGAGCGGAGAAGCTTAGTTTGATGGCTACACATATCAGACATTCTAACACTACATACAATTACACATACACCCACATCTTCCCTCTCACTCTCACACTCACACTCACACTCACACACACACACTCACACAGTCACTCACTCACACTCACACTCACTCACTCTCACACTCACACTCACTCTCATACTCACACTCATACTCACTTTCACACTCATACTCACTTTCACACTCACTCTCACTCTCACACTCACTCTCACACTCACTATCACTCACTTCTCACACACACACACACACACACACACACACACACACACACACACACACACACACACACACACACACACACACACACACACACACACACACACACACACACACACACACACACAACACACACACACACACAACACACACACACACACACACACACACACACACACACACACACACACACACACACACACACACACACAACACACACACACACACACACACACATGCACACAAACATGAACAAATATACACACGTGCTAGTGCAAGCAGCTCGCATGTAAACAATATTCCTAAATCAATTCTCATGTACAGAATTTATATATGATTACATATTTCAGGGATTGTCAAGGATCCGTGATGGGCTCTTGGTAACGGAGATGGACTTAAATCTCTGCCGCCAAGTGAAGGACCGCTGGGGCTTTAGGGTAAGTCAGGAGAGGATATTTGTAAAAAAGTTATCTCTTGGCCAGCATGGGGACATTTGTATCTTTTCCTTTATAGCACTTGTGGATGAATTATATCAAACAGAGACCTTAATTAGTTCTGTATTATATATGTTCAAATTTGAGGGATTTATATGACATTTAGGCAAAAGTAATTACTTTACGAGCTTTGTTCACTCTTGATAACCTTCATTTTATGGAAATGATTATGTGGCTAATCTATGTGTCTGCCGCAGATGACTCAGCGACTGGACCTCTACGCATCTTCCCTGGCTGCAGCCATACAGCCAGATTACCAACCACCAGTTATCAAAGACGTGTGCTAAGTTACTGGCTGCTATTTGATTTTTTTTTTTTTTTTTTTTTTTTTTTCTTATTTCCTTATTTTTTCTTAGATGAGGTGGGAGCAGTGCAATCCTTTAAAATTTCAAGAGTTAAACAATAATCGTTGACGGAAAGTGTAATTCCATACAACATTTTAAGTAGGTATGATATAATAATATGTTGTGAGCATCTACCTCGTGTTGGCTTAAATCTGATAAAAGGTCATAATAAGGAGAATGGGTCTAATGATGCTTGTATTAATCTTTTCCTTTCCACTCACACTATTATGCTTGATAGTCTAATTTTCTTTTGACAGTCATGCTTGGATATGATCTCTAGTTAGATGTAAAAAGCAAGAGAAAATATACTTGTATATTGAATACATTTATGGTACTTAGTCCTTTTCTTCAGTTTGTAACATGATCTTAGTTGATCTTTTAAGCTTAGCTCGAAGTTAAATGGCTAAATCCTTAGTACTCTTCTACAACTTCACCGAGTCATTTTTACAAATAGCATAGTGAAGGGAATCTTTCACCCTAACTTTATCCCCAGAGTGACTGAAAGATTTGTAACAAGACTTTGCAGAGTTACCAGTCTCAACTACAAAGGTTAATTACAGACTGAGTTGGTAATGCATGTTGTTACAGGGACTCAAAAACAGTAGAGGTTAACATGACCTTCCCCTAGTTTGCGGGGCCATAGGAGACAACAAGACCTAAGCTTTCTGGCCTCTTGCTTTGGCACAGAGTAATATGCAATTTCTCAGTGTGATGTTATAGTTGGTAGCATCTTTTATCAAGAGTCTCAACCAAAGCATATGCCATAGATAATATAGATAATTATTAAAGATGCTGACGATCATTAAAGATGTATATAACCGATAAAGTGTAGAATTAAAATCATCAAAGTAAATGAAACATGACTAAATAATACAATGTTAAAATAAATTCAATAAATTAAAAAAAAACTATATGCCTTATCATTTATATTAATTCATCAGAGTAAATCACTTGATACTCGTCCTTAAAATCATACTATATCTGTGTTATTTTTAATTATTTAAAAAAATGGCAGTTATCTGAAGGTAACCCAACTGTAGCTCAATAACCCAATGCCTCAACTCAACTAACACATCCAGGTGTGTCTCCAGATCCTCGGTGTAAATACCAATATCAAGGAAAAACTGATCCCTTCCCATTTTGGCCTCAGAACACCTTATTCATCAACTGCTGAAAAGTTATTGGGGCATTAGACAAGACAAATGGCATCACCGTATACTTAAACCGAGCCTGATATTTAGAGAAGGCAGATTTCTCTCTTGAACCTTCCTCTAGGTGCACTTGATGATATCCACTTCTCAAGTCGAGAGTAAGAAAACCATTTACTTTTGCTGACTCGATACAAGATATCTTCTACAGGAGGTAGGGGCAAAAATTCTGGCTTAGTTTTGGCATTGAGAGCCCTTTAATCCACACATAATCTTGGATGTGAATTATTCTTCCTCCTTACCAAGACTATTGGGCAATACACTCTGAAGAGCTGCCCTTTATGCGCTCTTCGTCCAAAAGAGCTTGTGTCTCAGCTTCAACTCCATAGGGGATAAATTGAGGTGATTTGTAGACTCTTTCTTGATCTTCTGTGTCAATACAATGCTTCACTAAAGTGGTTCTCCCCATGGTTTCTTCCTCAAAATTAAAGGCTGCTTGATACTCTCTCAACTTCCCCTCCGTTCCCTTCTACAGGTCCTTCGTTGGAAACCAGTGATCTGCTTGCAAACTGTCTTATAATATTTGGAAACAGGCCTCATCATATTTTGGTGCTTCATTTGTCTCTCTCTGTTGTGGATCAGTCTGAAGAGCCCTATCCAATGGATCCTCGCCTTCTGCATCATCCTGAACTTCAGTGAAGATTGCTTTTACTGTTAACCTTGCAAGCATTTTTGTTTTTGATTGTGAGCTGCAGGTAATCTACTTAAGTGCTCCAGCTCAGGGTCCTTTATTGGCTTTGCTTTTAGGATGAGTCTTTTCTAGTGGATTAAAAGAGGTACACGTCCCCAACTGCAGGCCAGGACCTGCATTATAGTCCTCTTGCAATGGTCTCCCATGCACCACTATCAGAGCTCTATTTGCTATTCCTCCACCCTTCCTCTTCAGGCATCCTGTCAACACAGCTACCTTCCCTGGCAGAAGGGTTACCATTTCTAAAGAAACTGTAGACTCTGTCTGCAATTGCCAAGTCCTGACCTTCCTCAGGACCCCTACCTACCTGGTGGCTACCTACCACCCCTGGTAGTTGAGCCGGTTTAACCTCACCAGCAGCAGACAGGCAGTCTTACAGCTTTTTATGGTGGTGGTAAATGCTCCATTCGCTCATGTTCAAGCCAATCCAAAGAGGACATCAGTATCCCCAGGAAAATTTAGGGCCTCATCGTCAAACACATAATGATGGGAGAATGCCTTACCTGCAATGACAAAGGTCATCTCCATCTCACCTAGAATTTTCACTGCTTCTGCTGTAAGTATTCCATTTACAGTCATATTTCATGGCAAAAGCGACAAAAGGAGGTTCCTCGGATCCTCTGCATCATTCCCTTTTACTTCCTCCTGTTCTCAGTACAGGGAAAACTTAATTAAATTGGGCCTTGCTCCAAAATCCAAAAAAAAAATATTTCCTTTTTGATACCTTCACAGTTGTCATCATGTACCCAGGAGATAGACCCCAATCTGTGTATAATATGGTTCTCAGCTCTCTCGGTTTCCTCTACTCGGGCCTCTTGTCTTTTTGGCCATCCTCTCCAGATGGCTCCACTGAGGTTGGCTCCGTTGTCTTGGTTCTTTCTCGTAGTTGGGGGCATTCTTTTACGAAATGCCCCTTTATTGCTGAAAAAAACATTTAGGTCTGGTGGCGGTGCTTCGTGGCTGCTTGCCTGCCCCGCTTGCTCCCTGGGCTGTTATCGCTACAATCTTTCTGCTTTCTTCTATAAATATGTCCTTAATGCTTCTAATGAGCTCTTCTTCCTCCTATTCTCCTATATCCTGCCTCACTTGGTTGAGGACAGCTTTGATCTCGGCCATCTCCGTTCTCAGTTCTTCCATGATTTCTGGCTCCTTTTCGAAACCTAGTCGGCACGGCTAAGAAACGTAGCTGTTTACCTGAGCTGTGAGAGCTGCCTCCTCGTTTCGTTGGGTGATGGCGGTCTGGAAATATTCTCCGCGCTCGTCGACTTCTACATCGATAAGCGTGCCGGCCTGTAGGGGCAGTTACAGTGCCAGGCCGTTACACGACCGCACCGACGCACTTCCTCACTGGTGACGGCGTCTTCGTTGTCGTTGTCCTTTTCATGGTCAGTAAGTGGCGGCCGTTCTCCGTTCCATACAAAAAAAGTCCTGTTCAACGTTGTCCTTCCTTATAGATTCCCCGGGCATTTAAAACACTGAAGGTGCATTGCATCATCTGCAATGCACTTAGTAACCGGATATTCCCCGTATCTTCCGGTTTTAGTCGCCTTTATTCTTGAGGGAAAGCCCTGCTACAGCGCCATTGATCATCTGGTCCACGTAGTTCTGTTGATCCCGCTGGACGTAAACGTAGCCCGAGCATCGCCATTTCCCTTGCACCATGTCTAGCGGGCCTTGTTCTTGAAGCTCCTCCACCTTATCTTATCTGGCATAGACGTTTCTTCAGGGAAAGCCAGACGGATGTACCTCTCCTGGGGGGGGGTCGCGTTGATTAGTCCTGGTTCGTTCGTCAGTCAGGTTGCTGGAGTCAAGTGATGTCTTCGTTTTATTTCTTTGTATTGACGAGTTGAAAACACTCGTCATCAACGTCGGGGTCAGCAGGCGAATCCTTGTTGCCTACATCGAAATCTTGATAAATGAAAATATCAGATTTCTGTTGTAATTATGGTCGCCGCCACCACCACTGTTTTCTTTGAAAACAGGGAAAACATCTCTCCTTTAGATGAATTAATTGTATCAGATATATGAAAATCATAATTCCTGTGATGATGGGATTAAGGAAACTAGATATTAAAATTTCTTGTATTTTGCCTTTTCCAAAGTTGCACATGTATTTTAAATTTATATTGCAAATTCAATATATGGCACGAAGCTTAACAAAAAATATATATACGAAAATTCAGCACAGGAAAGTTCGTAATAATTTGATAGACATAAGAGGCAGACCCTGTTTACCAAAATAACCACAAAACGCCCTGCGTTCCCAGATCAGTCCTCGATAACGTCCAGCGAAAGTGAGCCGACCCGAGGTCAGCCGATATTGATCACTCGCTGCGGGTGCACGCCAGGCATCACCTGATCACGCATACGATGTTCAGTCAACATTGTACTTTCCACTATGGCTGTGCCTAAGTAATTTTCCTTTTTGTTAAACAAATGTAGACGATTCCTAAACTTCCACATCCCTCCCTCCCTCAGGAACAGCCTGTCCCCAGGATGCTGTAAAATGTTTTGTCACAGATATTTACACACGCAGTAACCCAACACGGGAGGCATCCAAGTGCTACACCTTCCACCTGTGGTTGTCTATCGGAAGGCAGGAGGGCCTTACATCTCCTGTTGTAACCTATGTGGATCACACCTATGCCAAAGTTCGAGTTATATTCCTGTGGCACCGTGGAGGACGATAACACTTTTGATTCATCTTCGTTTCTTACTACTATACGAATGGCATAGTTCTTTTTCGGCCAGCGATATAACTTAGCACACATTTTTTCATTATATAGAAAGTATTCACTATAGTGAGAACCCACAAAGCAATATGATCACAAGATTTATTTTCGTTTGTTCTACATGTATCGGCACCGAAGAGCGCTCCAAAAGGTCGAAGCGTCCATCCTTGTTGGGAGGGGGGCTCGTCACCAGGATCCCTCAGCAGAGGTCCTTTTTTATTTCGTTTTCTAGAACTTCATTCACATGAGGCACCTCTTGCCAACGAGCCTCGGGCACCACCTCTAGGTTTCTGTGCCAGGGAGGGTGACAGAGCTGGCAGAGTGAAGCTGTTTGCGGAAATTCCGCAACCACATGGTACCGTTAGAGTGCCCATCTCTAGGACCTCCCTCACAATTTTATCTACTTTTCCTTGGTTAACAGTTAAAAACAAGATTTTCTTCTCGGGGAAATGACATAATCCATTCTTCGCGTGATGTGATGACAACTGGTGGAAGAGAGTCGTCACCTCTGCAGTAGTTTTCAGCTTCCTCCTCGTCGAAGAAGGCCGCTGAAATACAAGTATTGACTTCGCCACGAGGGCAGTGTCGGCTGGATAGACACTCCATCCCGGCTGAATCTCTTTGCAGTCGATGAGGTCTCTCTCCTCCACTAACAGGTCCCTTGCCTCTGAAACAAGGACAGCGGCAGATAT